GGATACTGCCGGGTGCACAGACATTCACTGGGAGCCTAATGGGTGCGAGATTCTCCCCGGAGACCAAGCACAGATGTGATGGTGGACCACACCAACCACTGTCCACACTTCCAGTTTCATTATCCTCCTGATTCTTCAAACCTTCTGGCTTCCCAGTGCTGTGGCCTGTTCCCCTCCCTTGACCTTGATATCAGTAACTGTGTCCCCTCCAGTCTCACTTCCCATGACCCCTCCTCAGGCTCACATCTCAACTTCTCAGCTCACTAGCTCTGCTTCCAAACCTCAATAACCCTTGGTTCTTAATGGGGACAAGTAACAAATATTTGCCAAAAAAAAAAAAAAAAAAAAAAAAAAAAAACCCCCAAAAAGAAACATTATATAAAAAAAAAAAATTCCAGGTGCAGTGGTGCACACCCAGTAACACTGGAGGTTGAGGGAGGAGTATTAAAAGTTCAAGGCCAGCCTCAGCAACTTTTGCCCTCAGCAATTTAGTGAAACCCTATCTCAAAAGGGCTGGGATATGGCTCAGAGGTCAAGTGCCCCTGGGTTTAATCCTTTGTACCTTCCCCCCCCCCCCACAAAAAAAAAAAATCCCAAATGCTCCTACTCCATTTTGTTACCTCGCCCCTTGTTTCCTTGCTTCCTCACTGTTCCAGCTTTGGCCTGTCATGAACTCCTCCCCCCCGGTACCCCTCATCTCACTCTGCATGCTGGGCTAACTCCAGTGTGGCACACTGTAAATCCTCCAGTGTTTGTTGAAACAGAACATCAATGAATGGCTCTGTGTGTGATGGTGGGGAGTGGAGATAGACAACTATTAAATAATTCCAGATAGGGATAATGGCCGTGACAAAACAACCAGGAGATGAAATCAAGAAATGGGCTGATCCTTGGGTGTAACTCGGTGCTACTGCACTTGCCTGGAATCGTGAGGTTCAATCCCCAGCACCATACACATACACAAAACCCACAAAAAACGGGCTAGGCATGGTGGTGCACACCTATAGTCTCAGCAGCTTGGGATACTGAGGCAGGAGATTCCCAAGTTCAAAGCCAGCCTCAGCAACTTAGTGGGACAAAAAGTGTCTCAAAGGAAAAAACAAAAAAGGTGATCCTTCAGGAGAAGTCTCAGGGGCAGCTGGGAAGGGAAAGGAAGGAGGTTAAGATGGGTTGGTCCTGTGGCTAGCCTGCAGAGGGAGACCCCACTCTGCATATTTTTGTGTCTCTCTTTCCACCTGACATTCTCCACTGTTGTCATAGAAACCTGTGGAAAAAACAACATCCACATGGCACACCATTGAACTACAACACCCAATTTTTAATATTTTGTGGTGCTGAGGTCCAAACCCAGGGCTTTGTGCATGCTAGGCAAGTGTTCTGCCACTGAACTACACCCTCAGGTTTCCTGTTTTGGTTTCACCTTGACTTAACCCTTTTACTCCCCAGTCCATAGCTTCAAAGTCCCTCCTTCACTGGAGTGTCCTTAAACATCCCTGATCCAGCTCCTTACTTCAGACCCCCCAAGATATGGTCCTCCCAGCTGTACATCTCCTCAAACCATCTCTATCTTCATGGAGCTTCTAGAATGTTGGGGAGACAGGCACAAAAACAGCCACTCCAGCTGGATGTAGTGGCATACATCTGTCATCTCAGCCACTTAGGAGGCTGAGGCAGGAGGGTCCCAAGTTTGAAGCCAGCCTCTGTGAGACCCTGTCTCAAAATAAAAAGCTGGGGATGTAGCTCAGTGGTCAAGTGCCTCTGGGTCCAATCCCCAATGACAAACAAACCCCCCAAAACAAAAACCACTCCAGTACATGTGGTCCCAATGAAGAGGGCCTAGATGGCAACAGAACTGACCTAGGAAACCAAGCTGATGTGTTTAGTTCTGAGCAGCATCAGTCAGGCTTTGTTTGTTTTCTGGGACTGCCATCAAGTACCACCATGTGAGCTTTTTTTTTTCTTAAGTATTTATTTTTAGTTTTAAGTGGACACAATATCTTTATTTTTTTAATTTTTACATGGTGCTGAGAATCAAACCCAGTGCCTCACGCATGCTAGGAGAGCACGCTACCACTTGAGCCACATCCCCAGCCCCATGATGTGAGCTTAATAGAACAACTTATTTGCTTTTTGCTCAGGAATCTGAAACCAAGGTGTGTTAGCAGGGCTGGTTCCTGCTTGGGAATTGGAGGGAGAATCTGTTCCAAGCCTTTCTCCTAGCTTCTGGTACTCAGTGTTCCTTGGCTTGTAGTAGATTACCTTCAATTTCTGCCCCATCATTAATGTGGCATTGTCTGTTTCTCCTCCTTGATAAGGGACGTCAGTCATAGTGGATTAGGGCATACCATAACTACCTCAGCTTGATTACATCTGCACAGGCTATTTCCAAATAAGTTAACATTCATTAGTACTGGGGGTGGGGTGGAACTTCAACATATCTTTTTATGGGACATAATTCAACCCATAACACAGGCTAGTGTGGGGGGTGCTGAAGATTTCTAAGATCAGGGGTGGGCTTATAGTGTGGTAGAGCACTTGCTTAGCATGCACTAGGCCTTGGGTTGCATCCCCAGCACCAGAAAACAAAACACCCCCAGGAAAGATCAGAAGCTATTTAATAGTCTCATAAGTCATGGTGGGCCAGGGCCTGCATTCCAGGGGCTGGGGGGAAACCAGAGGCATTTTAATAGGCAGGTGACTGGGCCAAAAGCTTTCTAGACACTGCTTCTGGCTGCTGCGTGGAAAATGGAGTGTACTGAGACCAGGATGGTGGCTGGCCATTCTTCAGGGCAGCAATGATAATGATTTAGTGGATTTTAGTCATGAGAACAGACATCCATTCAGTCTGTCAACAAATGTTTACTGAGCATCTACGGTGTCAGGTTTTGTTCAGAGCACTGAGAAATACAACAGCCAACAAAACATGACCAGTTTGAAATAGGGAGTCAGGGAAGGATTTACTGAGGTGAAATGAGAAACCCTGGGGGAAGAGCCATATAGTTATTGGGGGGAGGCAAAGGGCAAAAGGGTGACTGCCACTAGGCAGAAAAAGGACTTAGGCCCTGGAGGGAGGTGTGGACAAGGCTGAGTTGCTGATATGGGCCTGTTGCCTGATCACCCCTCTCCCCCAACAGGGGTCTGTGAGGTCAACCGCCAGAACCGAGCTGGCTATTCTGCACTCATGTTGGCTGCACTCACCTCTGTGGGACCGGAGGACATGGCAGTGGTCCAGAGACTCTTCAGAATGGGTGATGTAAATGCCAAAGCCAGCCAGGTGTGTGGACATCCCCACTCAGCTGAAGTTAGGATTGCTTTTACATTAAGTGCAGCTTCTCACCTTCCTTCCCCACTTCTTCCTTGTTGCCTAGACAGGACAGACAGCCCTCATGCTGGCCATCAGTCATAGCCGCCAAGACATGGTGGCAGCCCTGCTGGAGTGTGGGGCTGATGTGAATGCACAGGATGCAGATGGGGCCACAGCACTGATGTGTGCCAGCGAGTATGGACGACTAGACACTGTTCGGTTGCTGCTGGCCCAGCCAGGCTGTGACCCTGCCATCCTTGACAATGTGAGCCACTATCATGGTGCTGAATGGTAGGGTGTATGTGTGCCCATGGTAGCTTAGGGACCTGATGTCTAAACTTTCCTCAGGAGGGCACCAGTGCCCTGGCCATCGCCCTGGAGGCCGAGCAGGATGAGGTGGCTGCTCTGCTGCACACCCACCTGAGCTCCAACCAGCCTGGTTTCCAGGTGAGCACAGCCTCCCAGCTGCAGATCAGGTTTGAGGAGAATACTAAGCAAGCCCCAGACTTCCCTTCCCGGAGAGCATGGGGTGGGGTATCTGTGTCTGGGTTTCCCTATGTGGCTATGGTTTGATATTTAACCTGCAAAACACTGAACCTTGAGGTAGACATAGGGTCATGAGACTAAAGTCCTAAAGAGAAAAAGGTGTTGGTGGGCTTCTGCTACCTGCCCCAAGGATACTCATATTGAAGTAAAAGGAGAGGCAGGTAGAGGAATGGGGTGCAGACTTTCATAAATCCAGGACTCAAGACTGGGGGAAAGCTCCACAGCAGTGGGAGGGGGAGGGGTCTAGGGGTAGAGGCTTATACTAGATGTCAAGTGCCTGGCTGTTCTTAGGGCTTTACTCAACTCATTCAACCCAGCCACCCACCCTACACTCATCCCACTAGAGATGTGGGAATGGAGGTCAAGTATCTCTTCCAAGTCAGAGGCAGAGCCAGGATTAAAACCAGGCAGGCAGAGCCCACAATAAAGGCTGAAGTTTCTCCTTAGGAATGACCACAAAGGGGTCTGCTAGGTCCTCAAGACTGGGGCTAAAACCCCCAACTTCTGCAAGACTCTGCAGCAGGACCCCTTTCCTTCCTCTGTCTCTAGAGCCAGCTGCCTCCAGACTCTCAGATAGCTACACCTGGAGGAGAAGGCAATGACAATGAAGGGGAATCCCAGCCTCAGTGAGCTGCCCAGCACATGACCTGGATGGTGGGGAAGAGGGACTTCCCCCACCTTGCCTCTGGATCAGAACAGGGCCAGGGTCCTCAGTACAGATTCCCGCCCTAGTGTGACAGAAAAGCTGCTTCAGCTGGGATGGTGCAGCATTAGGAAGGCCTTATGCTGAACCTACCAAGGTGAGGTGGCATCTGGGGAGTTATACCTCCTGGTCCACCCACACTCCCCCCAACTTTTTCCAAATAAAACACTTCTACTAAACTTGTGTTTTGCCCCCAGGAGTGTGTGCGTGGGGGGCTGGGACACATATGCATGGTTCCTCTTTTTCTTTTTAATAGTAGATGGACACAATACCTTTATTTTTATGGGGTGCTGAGGATCCAACCCAGTGCCTTACAAGTGCAAGGTGTGTGCTCTACCACTGAGCCACAACCCCAGCCCAGCATGGTTCTTGGGAAAAACCACACCCCCTTAAATTCCAGATTGCAGAGGGCCAAAAGAAAATCTAGTTAACAGCCCAGACAAAAACTGGAGTTTATATACAATACAAACTCTTTATTTAACAAATGCAGATCATCCTGTGGGCCAAGCAGTACAGATCCAGAACCCTGTAAATAGAGTAGAATATGAGAATGCCGGCAGAGCCCTCAGCAACTAGCAAAATTCTCTTCACTCTTGCTAGTATCTATACAGATCCTTTCCACCTCCTAAGACCCTTCCACCTAAGCCGTGGATCTAACAGGGACAGAATTCAACCCATAACACAGGCAGGGGTGAAGTCTGCCTCTGTACCTACCAGCAGCAAGTTCAGCGCAGCCTCCGAGCCTCTCGCTCCGATTCCAATAAAGTTAGCACGTCGCCCTCACGGACGGGGCCTTTCACGTTGCGGATGATGGAGCGACTTGTGTCGTCCATAAATTCCACGCGCACCTACAGGCCCACCGGAGGACAGGAGTAAGAGTGGACGAGTGAGAGTTACCACGGAGTGGAAAGCTGACATGGGTTCAAAGGACGTATCGGGAACGGACCTGAAAATACTTGTGGGGACCATCGGAACCCGAGGGAATGAGGTGGCCAGGGCTCGGAGCCCCGGGATAAAGGGAATGTCGACTCCCAGATCCCCTTAGGTAGGGTCTGAGGCAGGGAAAGGGTTTTCATCAGGGCTCAGATCCTCGCAAGTCGTCCGGGCGCCCCCACCCGCTCACCTGCGTGCACTGTCCCTGCGAGCCAGTCCTACCCAGCACCTTGGTGACCTGGCGGAAAGAAGCTACAATCAGACCTGGACTTCCCGGTTCTTCTACCCACTCCCTCAATTCCCCTGAGTCCCAAGGCGGGCGCCCGCCTCACCCTGGCCAGCTTGATGGGCTGCACACGGCTCGTGTCCATGATGGCGGCGCCGCGGCTGTCGGTGGAGAGGAATCACGTGTCTCCGGGATAGCTTTTATACAACGCTCTAGCCACGCCCACTCCTGCTCTCGCGATATGACGCCGCGCGCTTCCCAGCATCCCTCGCGGTAGAGACGTCACGGACGCCCTTCAGCGCGGACGGAAGATGGCGTCCGCTACCCGCATTATTCAGAAGCTGCGAAACTGGGCATCTGGGGTGCGCGGGATGGGCAGGGCCGCGCTGGAGGGGATGGGGACGGGGACGAGGATGTGGGCTCTGTGCACCCCAGACCCGCTACTTACTTCCCTCCTAAGCCGGGCCTTCGCTCAGTGGAGGATGTCTCCTAGATTCCCCAGTTCCTGACCCTGTTAGCCCGGAATTTACTGTCCCACCGCCACTATCTGGGCCCGGGACTGACTCAAGTCTGGGATTTCCCTCGCTCCCCACCTTGCCTTTGGATCCCGTGGCCCTAGCATTCCTCTTCATCAGCATGGCCCATAGACCTGTCCTGGCTGTTCATCCCCTTCCCTCTTCTCCCCTGCGATGCCCCGCAGGCTGACCTCCCTTCTCCTCCCACAGCAAGACCTGCAGGCGAAGCTGCAGCTGCGCTACCAGGAGATCGCCAAGCGGTGAGCCGGCCCCGCTCGCTGCCCAGCCTCCAATCCGGTCTTTCCTCCACCAAAAACAAAATCCGTGTGCTGTTAGATCCCTGGAGCGCTGGGCAGGGATCCTGCCTCCACCGCCTGCGAGGCTATGGAGCAGAAATAAAACTATGCCTTTGAGTTTGCTGAACTCTCCGTGAAGCCGGCTTTTTTGTAATAGGGAGGCTGGGCGTGTATTCTGGTTTGGAATTTTGAGTAGGTTTTCAGTTTTCGATGTGGCCCCTTCGTTACTGTTTAATCCCCAAGCTACAGAGTAAAAAACAATAGACCTGGAGAGGCTAAATCATTTGTCTACAGTCAGTTGGACACTAGAATGTGACAGCAGGGGGTTGAACCCCAAAGCGTCCCTATTACAAACTCTTTCATGTAGTTGATATATATACAAGCCCTTGCCATGTTCTCAGCTTTGGGGATACTCTATGAACAAGAGAAGTTCTTATCCACATCTCTTTGGTGGTGTTCACCTCCTAGGGAGAACCAATAGGGAAATAAACATAGCAAGTACCATGGTTCTAAAATGTTTTCAAGATAAAACAATAAATGCGAATAAGCTGGAGGGTGGCTATCCGAAGTCAGATAGTTGGAAGAGGTCTTTTTTCAGGGTTTACCATTGAGTCACCCAAATGATGGGAAGAAACCAAAGAATAACCATTGAAAAAGCATATTGCTGTTGGCAGAGGGACCAGCAAGTACCGAGGTTGTGAGGTTGGGCAGAGTCTCAAGTAGGAAGGAAGTTAGTATGGTGGGAATACATCCAGGGAAAGGACTTTGGGATTGAACTCAGGGCAGCATGCATACTAGGCAAGTGTCTACCACTGAACAATGCCTCCCAAGTCATTCAAGGTTATCATGAATGAAAGTAAAATAGCATTAATAGCATTAAAATAATGAAATTGATGTGAATGCTGCATGTTGTGATTAGTTCCAAATATCCTAAAATATTGAATTGTTGTTTTTTTTTTTTTTTTGGTGGTACTGGAGATTGAACCCATGGGTGCTCTATCACTAAGTCACATCCCCACCCCGTTGGCCTTGAACTTTGATCCTCCTGCCTCAGGAATTAACAGGCCTGGGCCACTATGCCCAGCTTGAATTGCTTTTCTATCAGGGTAGTTAGTGGGCCAGTAGAGAAAATGATATTGTGAATTTTTCAACTTCTTTAGGATAGTGGTGCCCTGTAGTGATTAATTTGGGCCCTTTCATTGGGCAACTGTTACGTTTCTGTGCAAGGATGCAGAAACCTAAAGTTTATAGTTTAGAGGGGCATCTTTGCCTTCAGTAGGAAAATTCTGTCACATAATATATTGCATGTCATGTTTTAAAATGTTTACCTTATATCTGCATTTCTTATTTTAAAAATACAAATACTATCACTTGTTCTAAGAAACAAATATTTAAGTTGTAGCACAACAGTTACCAAACAAAAATATTATTCAACAACGTAGCTAAATAAAAACCAGATTTTCTTTTTTTTTTTTTTTTTTGGTAGTGGGTATTTAACCCAGGGGCACTTAACCACTGAGCCACATCCCCAGCCCATTTTATTTTATTTTTTTAATTTTTTAGTTGTAAATTAACACAATACCTTTATTTTGTTTATTTGTATGTGGTGTTGAAGATCAAACCCAGTGCCTCACACTTGCAAGGCAGACGCTCTACCACTGAGCCACAACCCCAGCCCCCCTTTTTATTTTTTGAGACAGGGCCTCGTTAAGTTTCTTAGAGCCTCCATAAGTTGCTGAGGCTGACTTCAAACTTGTAATCCTCCTGCCTCAGCCTCCCGAGTCACTGGGATACAGGCATGCACCACTGCCCCTGGCAAAACCAGATCTTGTGATTTTTCTCCCTGTCTTCTCTGTCCCCTCCCTCTTTCCCACTTTCCTCTGGGAAGCTCCTCTTTTGTTTAGAACTCAGCATTTCCTTTTAAGGCCTCAGACTTCTTGGTAAATTTAGTCCAGGATTTAGTGCAAGAGTCTTGGCGTCATACCACACAGTGGCAGGAAATGTAGAGGTCTGGACAGGCTCCAAGGGCAAGGTGTTCTTTGAGGAATAAGCTTTGATCCCAGCAGGATTCTTCAAGGAGTTCCTGAGATGACAGGAAACCCAGGGATTCCATAGATTGACCTTTTGGGAAAAAGCTACTCAAAGCAGACAAAAATCCAGTGCTGCTGTCCAAGTGTTTACAGTTGATGGATAGGTGGTAGCCATAACCTGGCTCTCTGCCTCTTCTGTTTCCTGAGCTCCTGCAGGTAGAGGTGAGGCCAGCTGCCAGACTTGGCTATACATAGATATGGGCTCCCCTTCTGGGAGTCTCACCAAGCGTCCTCCATACCTACCATATTTACCTACCATGGGGGAGCCTGAAGTAAGGCAGACTTTGACCTGACCTTGTATTACCCTCACATCCAAAGCAATGTCTACTACCCGCTTCTGGGCTCTGGGCCCCTACCCATGCATGTATGCATAACTGTGCCAAGGGACATGTTGGGCTTGCAGCCCATTCCCATGGCCGCAGACCCTGAGTCTTGTGACTGACTTGATTGGACCACAGTGAGGCAATGGGAGAGACTGTTGGTTTGCTTCATTCAGTGCCAATGTTCTTTCTCCTTAGGACTCAGCCTCCTCCCAAGCTCCCTGTGGGCCCCAGCCATAAGCTCTCCAACAATTACTACTGTACTCGTGATGGCCGCCGGGAAGCTGTGCCCCCCTCAATCATCATGTCCTCACAGAAGGCACTGGTGTCAGGCAAGACAGCAGAGAGGTGAGGACCTTGAGCATCACTTGCCCAGAGCCCTACAGTGCTCTCTCCTTCCTCTGGACCTTTCTTCCCTGCTGAAAGGTGCTTTTCTAGATTCTGTTTATCTGGCTGGGGGTGTAGCTTAGTGGTAAAGCACTTGGCTAACATACACAAGGCACCGGGTTCAATTCTCAGCATTGAACCCAGTGCCTTGTGTATGTTAATTGAATGAAGAATTGTGCTACTGACGGTTTTTCATTCCAGAGCTCATTTAATCCAGCCCCAACCCATGATAGGATTTAGTACCTCAGTTGGGGGTGCGTGTTTTCAGATGAAGTCTGATGTCCCTTCAAGGGTCCTAGGAAAAGCCTGGACATTTTACTGCTTTTATAATTTTTTTTTGTTTTTGGTGGTGGTGCCAGGGATTGAACTCAGGGCCTCATGCATGCTAGGCAAGTGATCTACCACTGAACTATGCTTCCCAAGTCGTTGGCATTATAGGTGGTGAGCCACTGGACTGGCTCCAGTTAGTCTGTCTGTCTGTTTGTCTGTCTGTCTCTCTCTCTTTCTTTCCAGTAATGGGATTGAACTGAGGACCTTGCCAATGCTTGGCAGTTGCTTTACCACTAAGCTCCTCCTCCAGCTCTTTTTATTTTTTACTTTGAGACAGGTCTCACTAAGTTGCCTGCACTGGCCTTGAACTTGTCATCCTTCCACCTTAGCCTCCTGAGTAACTGGGATGACAGGTGTACATCACTGCACCTGGCTAAACAGCATTTTGTTCAACTGCATATTTTTTTTTTTTTGAGAGAGACAGAGAGAGAGAGAGAGAGAGAGAGAGAGAGAATTTTAATATTTATTTAGTTTTCGGCGGACACAACATCTCTGTTTTGTATGTGGTGCTAAGGATCGAACCCGGGCCGAATGCACGCCAGGCAAGCGCGCTACCGCTTGAGCCACATCCCCAGCCCTTGTTCAACTGCATATTAACTTTTAGCCACACCAGACTAAGAGATCCCTAAGCACAGGACCTTCTTTTACTAGCATTGTGCCCATGTGCAGAACCTTGAGGAAGACCAGTGGACACTGTCACCTGATTGCTAGGTCCTTTTGCCAGCATCCTGTTTGGGGGCAGCAGGAATGGTTGGGTGTCTTGTCCATACCAGATGGCTTTAAGTGGGAAGGGAAGAACCCAGCTATTTCCTGCCCAGGAACCAGTGCAGGTTCACTGGCGTTTGCAAGGGGCTGGGGAAGCAAGGAAGTATACCCCCATTGTAGGGGTTTGGGTCGTCTGAAACACCTGCCCTTTGTCTCCAGAACCAGAAAGTCCCAGCAGGTGTGTCTGTACCAGGTGTGGGTGTGTTCTCCTCTTAGATCCTTCTGTACTGTTCTCTGGAGACCTAGCCCTAACTGAAGTCTGTGTTCCTCTTCCAGCTCAGCCGTGGCAGCCACTGAGAAGAAAGCAGTGACGCCTGCTCCTCCCATGAAGAGGTGGGAGCTGTCCACAGATGAGCCTTACCTGTGACACTGCCCGCATGCTCATAGGCTACTTGGCCATGTCTCCAGGGCCATCTGAGTGCTTTTCCTCCCTGGATTCCCTCTGGGGATACTGTGACCTAATGTATGAAAAATACAAGGAATTCCATATCACTTCTATTTTTACTTTCTTCTTTTTTAAATAAGGGTCAGGGCCTTTCTCTGTTCCCCAGGCTGACCTTGAACTCCTGGTCTCACGTAATGTTCCTACCTCAGCTTTCCAAGTACCTGGGACAATAGGCATGTATCACCAAGCCTGGAATTTTTGCTTTTTAAGTGACCCCAGCTTACTTGGATTTGGGGTAAAGTTGGTGCCAAGTTTAACTCATGTCAGTGCTTCAGAGGTGGGAAAGGAATGTTTCCTGGGCTTCCTGAATGCAGAGCTGATGATGTGGTGCAGGAGGCCTGGCTCTGCTCCCAGGGTCTTGGAAATAGGGAGTGGGGTGGCTCCTTCTTGGTGACTGGGTTCCAGGCCCTCTGGGTATTTGGGGAGTAATGACTACCAAGGCCCATGGGCGGGAGTTGTACTTAGAAGACCAAACAGATGCTCATTTGAGAACTACCCCCATCATTGCTCATGGGGAAGGAAGTTTAGGCACCTCCCCACTGAGGCCCCCAGTTGGTCTTGGCCACCTGCAGCTCAGTGGGGGAAACAGAGGGCAGCAAGGGCAGCTCACAGAAGTCTCACCTTGAGTGGGTTCAGAAAAGCCTTCCTGAGCCAGAAGGAAGGTTGGGAAGGAAGGTTGCTGGTCCCTGTGGAGCAGTGAGCAGAAGAGAGAAGGCTGCAGGGCGTGAACAGTGGCCTGGAGCTGGGGGAGTGTCAGGGCTGCCCCACCGAATGACCCTGTAACCTCCAGTAGGTGCAGAACATCTGGCTATGTGCCAAGAGTGTCACACTGTTGGCTTCTAGAAGCTTAGAGCCAGGGGAGAAAGACCACAGTCCCAGGGCTCCTTCTCTGCTTATATGACTGGATCCCCGAAACCTCCCTCACCAAGACCCTGATCCTCAAAGGCAAGGGCACTCCCTTCCCTTTCTCCCTGGGCAGACCTATTTACCCTACTGACCTTTCCCGTCTGTGATTGTATCTGAACAACATCGCCTATTATTTCCTTTTCCCATGGTAATCAGGAAGACATAAAAACTAAAAAAGAAAAACAAAAGAAAAAGAAAAAAAACATTCCAAAAGAAGATATACAACCTCTAACATTTTCAAATTGGGAAGCATGCCATTAACCTGCAAATAAAACCTTTTCTAGCTGGTGTGGTGGCCCATCCCTGCAATCTCAAAATAAAAAATAAAAAGGGCTGGGTATGTAGCTCATTGGTAAAGCGCCCCTGGGTTCAATTCCTGGGCAAAACAAACAAAGACCTTTCTGTGGAAATATGGGTGACTGCAGCCTCACAGGAGACTTAGGGCTGGGAGTGGCAAACACTTGCCCGCGTGTCAGTATTGAGCGACAGTGATTTGTTTGGGACCCTGCTGGGAGTTGGAGTCACTGCATCTTCTGAAGGCAGAACTGCAAATGACATTTTTCAAGACGAAAATATTGTAGTCAGATTGGACAGAAAGACGTGTGCTAGTGGGAAGAGAAAACCCAAAGGCTGCATAACTATCTTTGATGAAGAGGAGGATGCCAGAATAAGGCACAGCTCCCTGGGGTGTGTGAGAACTAAATAAGCCAATGAGGATGAGTTGATCGCATCCAGGTGACAGCCACAGAGGAACCATTTAGTCGCCAAATATCTATTAAGATACCATGTGTGGGGCATTGAGATAACAGCAGTACACATAGCATTCCTGCCCTGGTGGAGGTGGCGTTCTAGTGGGGAATAGGACAATAAACCAAAATAAGTAAATAAAATATAAAATCTGTCGGTGGCACCAAAGAGGCAGTAGGAAGGAGGGGATGGGGAGTGCCTGAGGGGAGTTGCTACCGTATTAAATAAGACCATCAGGCAATAACATTAGTGGCAGTGTGCATGAGGAACGCAAAGGAGTTTAAGTAGAAGCCAATAACATTTACAAAGCTTATAACATTTACAAAGCTTCGGAGCCAGCGCAGTGGCGCACGCCTGTTACTGGAGGCTGAGGCAGGAGGATCGAGATTTCAAAGCTAGCCTCAGCAATTTAGCGAGGCCCTAAGCAATTCAGTGAGACCCTGTCTCTAAATAAATAAAATACTTTTATAAAAGGTCTGAGGTTGTGGCTCAGTGGTAAAGGGCACCTAGGGTTCAATCCCTGGTCTCTCTCTCTCTCTCTCTCTCTCTCTCTCACACACACACACACACACACACACACACACAACAAACAAACAAAAAAACTTTTACCTGGGCTGGGGCTGGGCCTCAGTGGTAGAGCGTTTTGTCTAGCATGTGCGAGGCACTGGGTTCAATCCTCAGCACCACATAAGAATGAATAAATAAGAGTCTTACCCTGAAAAAGACATTACCTGGAAATGCTCTAAAATAAAATACTCAAGTGTGCACAATGTTACAAAAAAAAGAGAATGAATAAATAAGATAAAGGTAATGTTGTATCCGTTTTTAAAAAACCAAACCAAACCATTTACCTAACTTCAAGTAGGCTTTATATCATTCAATGGACTTTGCCAATGGAAAAGTGGGGAAGAGCTTCAATTTAGGGGTTCCTCGTATTCTGACATTTACGGTACACAGAGCCGTCCGCGCCGCGGGAGCGAGGGGCGCAGGCCCCGCCCAGCTCGCGCGTGCGCGTGCGCGTGCGCAGGGATAAGAACCCGGGCAGACGGCGTGTGGCGGGTACAGCGGCTGGGGCGGCACGAGTAGCGGCTGGATGACGCGGGGCGGAGCACGGCGGATAGCGGCCCTGGGCCTGGCGCTGCGGCTACTGCTCAGCCTCGGGCTGGGCCTGGAGGCCGCCCCGAACCCAGCCCGAACCGGGACCTCGGCCCGGGCTCCAGGTGAGAGTCCCCTCAGCGCTCGCCCCCGCCCCTCCTGGGGCTGCGCCCCGCCCCCGCGCACTCCGCAGCGCTTTTCCATTGGCTGCGCCGCCTGTCGGTCGTGGACACTCCCCCAGCACATGGGTTTGGACTTAGTAGTGTGCGGGGAGCGGGCAGTGGTGCTTTGAGAGCCTGAATGGGGGGCCTTCCACCTGGGCGCCTCCGCCTGCCTCTAACTGCCCTGTGCACCACTTCCCTTCCCCCCATGACCTGTTCTGCTGTATTATGCCCCCATTGTCACCTCTAAGCCGCCCTTCAGTCCAGCATGGTCGGGAAGACTCGTAGCAGGCACAGGTTTTCCGACCTCTAACCACGCAGGATCAGTCTCCTGGTGCTTCCACAGCAGCTGTGCTTTCCAAAAAATCTTCGTCCCGAGGCCTTCTGGCTGTTTCTTGGACAACCAGCCTCACTTTCCCATTCTCACCTCCTTGGTTTTCTGCCTTCTGGGATGAAAGTTTTCCCTCTCCAGGCGATTAAGCACGGTTCACTTGCGACCCCAACCTCACAAGTGGTTGGGCATGTTCGCCCCTGGCCCACGTGATTGGTGTCCAGAGACAGGGGAGCTATCTCTGAGATCTTCAGAGGCAGCTGGGGGGTCGGAGTGGCCTCCCTGTGCTTATAGGATCCCTAACTTCAGCTGAGAGCACAGGTTTATACCCTCCACTCTTCCATGTGGTCTCCTCTTATGGCAGACTTACCCCCAAAGTCCCTGCTTTTCAAACTAAATGTTCCTGGTTCTTTAGTGAAGCTGGGCTCATTTTAACCAAGCACTAGAACTCTACACACAAATAGCTCCTTTTCTTAGAGTGCTGGGGTAGGAACTCTCTTCCCAGACGTGTGGCCCTGACCTCCACTGAGTGTCCAGTTTATGGGAGGACCATTGTTACACGTGGGAGGCAGCGCTCTCCTGGTCTTTAGCCTACCCCTTTTGTTATTTTCCTGAGGCTGGGAGGGTAAATCACTGCCCTGTCCAACTCCTCTTTGATCCACTGTCCTGTACAGTGGGGCTACCCACTGCTACTTACTTTACAGAGAAATACAGTCCAGTAGGCCAGCCAAGGGAGGTCAGAGCCCTCAGAGCAGTTGGTAGCTAGGCCTGGGGAGGAAGTGGCACCTGGAGGCTGCCAGATTCCTATGGGTAGGGAAAGAAGCTGATACCTGGTTGTCCCTAGCTCTTCCAGCTCCACAGAGCTCAGGGACTGTGGCCAGAGCCCAGTTGGGCCTGGAGGCCTGGGGAGTGGGGGTTGGAGACTCAGGCCCTGGGAGTGTAGGTAGAAAGGACAATAGAAGCAGACGGAGCAGATGGAGCAAGGCCAAGCCAGGGCAGGGTATTTTTACCTCTCCTTGCTACACCCCAGAGGAAGCCTTAAGAGCCACCTCCTGTCTTTGTTTCTCAGGCTTCCTCCTGCTAGAGCAGGTCTCAGGCCCCCCTGTTCTCCTCCAGGTCAGCAAACAGCTCTAGCCTCCTGTTCAGAGTCAAGGAAGGCTCAAGTCTCATTGTACTCATCTCGGACCCTCTTGTGACCCATTGCCTGTGCATTGTCAGGGACTTCCCTGGCCTGGGTCATGAGGTCACAGCCATGACCTCTGCTGACTGTGATCTGTGGGAGGGTAGGTGTCATTGGTATAAGGACTGTTGTTTTACATGGGAAGCAGAACTTGGTGGGTTTCTGAGGGGGACATGAGACCCCTCCCAGGAAGTAAGCTGCGATCTGAAGGCTGTGGAAGAAATCACAGGTGTAGATTGAAGGGGTGGGGAGCTTCTGGGCCAGGGAAAGGCGTAAACAAAGACTGAGGAGCAAAAGACCAGGCCCCCTAGCCCAGCCATGCGGATGCCTGGAAGAGGAGCTGATAAAGAGGACAATGTGGAGGAGTTGGATTTGGTAGTGAGAGGGTCTAGGAGCCAGGGGAGTGTGGGTGACAGAATGATGTGACTAGTGGAGATTGGAGCCAGGGGTTTAGTGAGGAGATGATGTGTTCAGGTCAGGGAAGGATTTAGGAGGTGAGGCACAGGGCTTGCTAACAGAGCTGGTTCTCTGCCTAGGGGCTTAGTTTCCCTTTTTGCTAAGCAGGTGGAATAGAATAGACCCTGATGACCTTGACCATGAGTTTTACCTGGAACATGTGGGGGATGGCTTCTCCCCTAGTCTGTTGAACCACGGAGATTAGAGGTCTCTCTGGTAGACTGGCCATTTGGACCTGGGTTCAAATTCTGACTCTGCCACTAGCTTTGTGGCTTTCTCTTAGGGTCCTCTATAGACTATGTATCATGGCAGTGCCCGCCCAGTAGGGCTTCAAACCCCCTACACAGTGAGTGAGCGCTTTGCAAAGGGTGGCCACCTGTGTAGTTCCTGCACCCTGGGACTTGCTTGTCCCTGTGGTTGCAGCCTGTGACCCCTGGCCCTTGTGGAGAGGATTCAGACTGGGGTCTCCCAGGCGTCACTTGTGCATATCTCATAGGCCCCAGTGCAGGCTCGTGCCAGCCCACCCACTTCCAGTGCCGCAGCAGTGGCTTCTGTGTGCCCCTCACCTGGCGTTGCGATGGCGACTGGGACTGCTCAGATGGTAGTGACGAGGAGGAGTGCAGTAAGTGCCCATATCCTGGGGTGGGGCTTTCAGGGGTGGGGCCTGGGAATGGAAGGTTGTACTCTTGGGCAGATGAGGAGGGAGGAGAGGAGGGGTTGGAGTTTGTTAAAACTCAGGGTCGCGGGATGGTCAGGGCTTGCAAAATCTAGTAGAGTGGAGTCTGGGTCTTGGACTGAAGAAAAGGTGGGTTTGCTGGGCTCCACTAGAGAGGCGCACACCTGTAATCCCAGCAGCTGGGGAGGCTGAGGTAGGGGGATTGCAAGTTTGGGCCAGCCTCAGAATTTAGTGAGACCGTGTCTCAAAAAATAAAAAGGGCTGGGGATGTAGCTCAGTGGTACCCCTGTGTTCAACCCCCCAATACCAAGAAAAGAAAAGAGGTGGGGTCTGGGCTGGGGGCGAAGCTTAGTGAAAAAGTCCTTGCCTAGCTTGCTCGAGGCCCCAGGTTCAATCCAAGTTAGGTTTTTGGGAAGTGGAGTGAGTGGGGTCTCGTGGGGAGGACCTTGCTGGGAGGCAGGACCTCGGAAGGTGGAGCTAACAGGAGCCAAGGGCAGAGCCTTAGCGCAAGGTGGGTCTTCCTACAGCTGTTCTCAGAAGGCGGGACTTACTGGGAAGCTCTGTGCAGAATGCCGGGCTTTCTTGCATGGGTGTTTGGGACCTGACTGTGTCCTAGGGATCGAGCCGTGTACCCAGAATGGGCAGTGCCCTCCACCCCCTGGCCTCCCCTGCTCCTGCGATAACATCAGTGGTTGCTCTGGTGACACCGACAAGCACCTTCAGAACTGCAGTGGCCAGCCCTGCCCCGCAGACCATCTGCACTGCGCACAGGAGGACACCTGCATCCCACACACGTGGCGCTGTGATGGCCACTCAGACTGCATGGACTCCAGCGATGAGCTTGGCTGCAGTACATCCCCAGGACCTCGGGGCACCTGTGGGAGTGGGGAGGGCTAGGGCTGGTGAAGAGCACCCGATATCTGCTAGGGTGCTCGTGACTGGCAGAGTGTGGACACGGCACTCTCCTGGGCCTCCTCCTTGGGTGGCATGGCATTGTTGGGAGTAGCTCACCTGGTCTGGGATCAAGAGGAACCTCAAGAGGAGCCTCCACATGCCCCGTGCCCTGGGTATCCCCTCCGCAACTACTGAGTGCCTGCTTTTATTGCAGAAACCAACAAGACTTTCCAGGGAGGGAGTGCCATAACCATGATGACCCCTGGGACCCTGGAGATTGTCACTTCTCTCAGGAATGCCACAGACGACTCTGCTGGGCACCAGTACAGAAGCCCAGGTGTCCACGGGGCCGTTGTTGCTGCTGGTGAGATTCTCAGCCTCCCTGCCCCTGGGCCTTTCTGGGGGAATCGGGTCTGGGTGGGGACGGGATGCAGACCACCCAGCCCCATATGTTGGGAGCTCAGTGGCTGTGAGAGCCTGTGCCTTCCTCCCGCTGCCCCTCTGTCCATCTCTGTGTCCCCAGCAGTGCTGAGTGCCAGCCTGGCTGCTGCCATCCTCCTGATAGTGACATGGCTCCGAGCCCAGGGGTATCTACCTGCACGGGGGCTTCTGGTGGCAGTGAAGGAGTCTCTGCCGCTGTCAGAACGGAAGACCTCAGTGCTCTGAGGACACGCTCTCACACCTCGTCACCCCTGCCTGAGTGCAGCCAGATGAGGATTGTCTGCATGGGAACATGCGGGCAGCTGCTGGGGCCCCAGCCCTCAGAGACTCGGGTGCTCCTGGCCACCTAGAACCTTGCAGACGTGGCCCAGGAGGCTGGGACACTCCCTGTGCACAGGAGGAGTTTGGATGGAGAACGCGCCACAGCCAGAGACGAGGGGCTGGCCGTAGCCCCTCCCAGGGCCGGGATGGCCCTGCACCTAGACACTCCTGCCACCCTTGGTAGGGTGACGATTAAAGTTCTTCCACGTCCTCTCCCTGCCTCTGGGCCTCTGTCTTCCTGGTCTGGGCAGCCTGGGGTCTTTGTTTTACCTGTCTTCTGTGAGGTTCCAGAGAGGAGGGGATGCAGGACCTCATTCCCGGCACCCTCTCGGCCCCTCCCCCTCTCGCCTCCTGAGAGCAGGGGTGGCGGGGCTGCAGTGGCAGGGAGGTTTGCATCGATGGCAGCTTTGATGGCAGGCCTCAGGAGGAAGAGCAGAGCTCAGGCAGCACCTCCTGTCTTGAGTTGCAGCCCTTCGTCCATCATGGCCCCTCCCCCTGTGAGAAGAGGCTGTGGGTGGCCCTGGTCCCAGCTCCACCCTGCTGTGAAACATGGGTTTTATTATCAGGCCTGGTGAGGCCTACAGATCAAGAAAGACGGCCCCTGAAAAGGTGGCACTCAGTGAATATGGTGGCACATGCCTGTGATCCCAGAATTGGGGAACTGAGGCAGGGGGATGGCAAGTTAGGTAAACCCAGTCTCACAGAGGGCTGGGGATGTGTCTCAGTGGTAGAGCCTGGGTTCAATCCCCAGCACCAAAAGAAAAAAAAAAAAAAAGGAAGAAGATATAACTCAGATTCTTACAGTGGCGGTGGGGTCACAGGTACCTGTCAGGCTGTAGAGTCATACAGGGAAGAAGCTTCAAGTGAGGGATGTCCTTGGTCAGGAGGCAGAGAAGGCTGGAAACCTCGTGCAAAAGCCCTTATGGTGGTTTCTGTGGGAAGCAGTGGGCGAGGCAGGATAAGCAGCCCCAGGAGTAGCTAGTTCCATTCATTTTGGGAGGGTTGTGTGCCAGGGGGAGCCTGCTGGTGACTCTTCTGAGGTGTCTGGTTCTTGGCTCTGGGGTGGGGCTGGGGCATGGTGTCGGAGAGCCTAGTGAAGGGAGTGTGGCTTGCCTGTGGAAGGCAGGCTCCCAGGTAGGCAGGTTGTTTCCTGTCCTTAGGAATTAGCTAGCGCTGGGCCGGGCTGTCCCTTGCTGGGTCAGTGGGGTCTCAGGTGCCTTAGTGTTCTCTGTCATAGTTCCAGTTCCTGGACTCACTGGTGGTTCTTTTGTTCCACATTAAGGTGGATTCCATGCTCTTGAGATAGGCTGGCCGAGTGTCACTTCGTGGAAAGTCTTACGTATACCCTGGGGGAAATGCTGGGACAGCCAGGTGCTCTCTGTGCTCTTCCCAACAGGCCTGCTGCACTGTCCTTGGTCCTTGGGAAATTGGGGCTTCCAAGGTGCAAAGCAGAAGTTGCTGGAGCAGCAGCACTTCTGCTCTAGGGTGTTAGTTAGCTCAGCGCGTATCCTGTGAGAGTGGGTGTGAGTGGGTGTGTGAGTGTGTGAGAGTGTGTACCAGGTAAAGGTATGAACAGCTGCAGGCCCTGTTTGTCAGGCCCTCTTTACCAACGGCCACAGGTGGGGCAGAGGGCATGAGTGGGCGGGAACGGAGCAGGCCTGAGGTGAGTGCTCCCTGCCTGCTGGCCAGCAGCTCTGCTTTGCTGTCATGTGAGCACCCTGGGATCTCAGCGCTGTTTCCTCCAGCAGGGCTCTGTGCTGGCAGCTGCCCATCCTGTCCTCAGAATCGGCCTAGAGAGTCATTTCCAGGAAATCCGGGTTTAAAGTGGTGTGAGCACGGAGGGTCCTTGCATGTGGGACTCCATGTCTTGCTGGCCTGACAGCCCAGACCTGCAGGCATCCTGCTTTCCCACTTGACCACTTGGTCTCAGCCTGCAGCCAGGACTGGGGACAAGAGCCCCACCCTCATCGGCAGCTCAGTGGGTCCTTTCCTTCTCCTCCTCAGTAAGGAGCCCCAAATGTCCAGTCATATCCACTCTGTGCCACCCCGATCCTTGTCTTGGAGCTGAGCCCTAGGTTTGCTGCCCTTTTTCTCTTTGTGCCCCATTCTGATTACTCATGCTGAGGGGAAAGGTAGCCTCATCTCAGGCTGAACAGGATAGGGTCCCAGGCAGCTCCAGTGTTCTTCCCACCCTGTGTCACGGACTGTGGTCTGGGCCTCCGAGCATGTTTCAGGGGCTAGACGTGGTCCAGGTGGGCATAGGTCCGGCACCTGGCGGATGAGTGCTTGGAAGGGTGGCCGGGGGGCTGGGTGGGGAGATGGGGAGGGGCGGAAGCTGTGAGTGTGTGTGTGTGTGTGTGTGTGTGTGAGTGTGAGTTTGAGAGGGTGTGAGTGTGAGAGTGTCCTTGTCCAGTCCTCCCCCACCCCTTTTTGTTATTGAGGAAAATTCACATAACCTAAATTAACCATTAACCATTTTGAAGTTGCAGTCCTGTGGTGCCTGGCCCACTGACAACGTTGTGCAACCATCACTCTGTCTAGATCCAGGGGATTTTCATCATCCCCAAAGGAAACCCTGTGTCCAGTAGCAGTCACTGCACATCCGCTCTCCCCAGCCCCCGAGACCACTGAGTACTTTGTCCCTGTGGGTTTGCCTGTTCTAGACGCTTCACGCGAACGGGATGGTACCACCTGATCTGTGCTGTCCCCTCCCCTGAGCTTGATTTCTGGGGTCGTTCGAGTCGCAGTGTTAGCATTTTGCTCCTTTCCACCGCTGGGCAGTATCTCAGCTTGTGTCCTGGCTGATTGTTCATTGCTTGCTAGGCTCTCTGGACCACGGTGCCCAGTTGTTCTCTCGCCCTCCCTAAGGTCAAAAGCAAGGCTGAGTGGAGCCCCACAGACCCAGAGTGCACCTGGGCTGCTTGGTGCCAGGTCCCCATGCCTTGGGTAGTGGTCAAGTGGAGACAGAGTGGTCCTTCGCCATGGTGTGAGGTCCTGGCTAGACCAGGCACAGGTTCGCCAGGGCCTGCTTCCACGGTGGCATCTGGAGGCTGTGTGCTGCCTGCTGCTTCTGCCCAGGTTTGGGATCCAGCTTGTGCTGAGGCTATAGCTCAGCCTGGCTGGGATAATCTGGAATGTTAGGTGCCAGCTCCTTGGTGCTGAGCCAGAAATTTTAAGCTAACGCCTTACATTCTGATTTCTTGCAACTCTGCCCTCCCTTGGTACCTGTTATTATCCTATTGTCCCCTGTCACCATGCTTAGTCTGTTGCTCTTAGTCTGTTGCTCATCACCATTGCAGCCCCCTTCCCCAATACCTTTGTCACTGTGGTGGCCTCCTGGAGTCACCCCTGTCTCAGCCATACTCTCTCCTTTGCCTGTGTCACATTTTCTTTTCTTTTTTTTATTGGTTGTTCAAAACATTACAAAGCTCTTGACATATCATATTTCATACATTTGATTCAAGTGGGTTATGAACTCCCATTTTTACCCTGCACATTTTCTGTAATAGTTCATAGGGACAAAAAGTAGAGACAGGAATTTCTGTGTAAACTCTTAACCCCTTCAGGATGTGATTATATTTGTAAATTTGACCTTTGAAGAGGTGATTTAAGGAATGTACCAATAAAAAAAAAAAAAGATGATTAGGTTGGGGGTGTAGGTCTATAGTAGAGCATTTGCCCAGCATGTTCAGTGAGGCTCTGGGTTCCATCCTCAGCACTGAAAGATGGGAAGGAGCAGAAAGAAAGAAAAGAACACATGTGTCTTAAACATTTATAGGCTTTTCTTTTTATTTTTTCACTTGTCATTATTCCCCGAACAACACAGTATTTCAACTGTTGGTGTACGGTGTATTTTCTACTAACATAGTCATCTGGAGCCGGGATGCGGGAGGATAATTGTACCTTGGACTGCAAACTCTAGAGCGTTTCGTAAGGGACCTGGGCACCTGCAGTTTTTGGTATCTTCAGGGCCCCTGCATCCAATCCCCAGCAGCCATGACTGTACAGGGAGGGCACTGTTCTAGGTGCTCAGTACAGCCATTAACAAAATGGACCTCCAAATTCGGGAGGAAGTATTTTTGGAGGACAGAGGATATGACCGAAGGGGCCAAAGTGGGAGCTGGGAGATCAGGCAGGAAGCGCAGGAGGGTGGAACCTGGGGGGATGGCTGGATTCTGGGTCTGTTTAAAGGCAACTGGGCACCAGGATTGATGGCCACCTGGGGTGTGGGCGTGGAGAAGCCAGATGCAGGGGCTGAGCGAATGCGCTAGCGGCTAACCTTGAGGCTGGGCGGCAGAGGCCTGGCCTGGGCAGGGCCACAGTGGGGCGTGGCCACAGTGGGCGTGGCCCTGGAAGGGGCCCCCTAGGAATCCAGCTTTGAGGGTGCTTCTTTTGAGAAAGAAACCTGATGGGGGAGACGGAGAAGGTGTTTGGCCCTGGGTCCGGGTTGGAGGGGAGACCGGCGGATGTGTGTGGAGGGAGGAGAGGAGCCAGGTCTAGAGGTTTCGAAAGCCAGGAAGAAGCCAAGGGAGAAGGAGCCCAGGGGAGGACACCAGGGCAGTTCAGGAGAAGGGAAGGAGTCAAATAAGAGGGAGTGATCACCACCGGAGTCGCCAACTGCCATGGATCAGGTCCAGCAGGCCAGAAGGAGGCCGGATGATCCGGTAACGTGGGGGTCATTGGTGGCCTTGGTGGTGAAGGTTTTGGTGAGGAATGTAGGCTGGAGGGGGTGGTGGGGAAAGCCCGGGGTGGAAGAGCTGAGCCTTCGGTGTCCCCGAGCTCTGAGGCCAGAGTGCGACCTAGGATGGGAACTATTTGGAAGTAGAATTGCGTCAGTACTGAACTCGCACAGACTCTTTCCTGTCGTGATTCCCTCAACAATACAGTGTAGCAACTGTGCCCGTAGCGTTTACATTGTATTAAATACTATAAGTCTACCGAGCGCGGTGGAAAGCCATGATCCCAGCTACTCCGGAGGCCAAGTTGGGAGGATCACAAATTCAAAGTCAGCCTCAGCTGGGCTGGGGATGTGGCTCGAGCGGTAGCGTGCGTGCGGCCGAGTTCAATCCTCAGCACCACATACAAACAAAGATGTTGTGTCTGCCAAAAACTAAAAAATAAATATTAAAAATTCTCTCTCCCTCTCTCACTCTCTTTAAAAAACAAAAACAAAAACAAAAACAAAGTCAGCCTCAGCAATTTAGTGAGGTCCTGA